GTTTGTCTCTTTTTACTGTAGCTTTTTCGTTTCATCGAATTTTCAAATCACAACGGTGCTAAAAATATTTGACTGACTGTCTGATTCCTTGACGCAGGGTCTAAGCCGTTATAGAAATTTTGACAGCTGATGCTTTTATGTTTTAAACACCCACTTAGAAAGGATTTTCGGAAATTTCCCCCCTAAGACATGAACAACTGTTCATTCTTTTTTGTATATTTTTTTATTAAAAAAGACAACTCCCGCATTAGGAGTATATCCTGTGTTGCGGGGGACTTTACAAACATACATGAAACGGGCACAAAGAACACCCAGACTTAGAACAACAATTTGTGTATCACACAAAGTGTTGTCCCATGTGAGGTTCGAACCCACAACACTCGGCTTAGTAGGAAGCGGCGTGGCGACCGCTTAAGCCACTACGCCATCCGTGCAGTCTTCTGTATCGAAGTTCGACATTATCGAAGTTGGAAAACGTAATAACAAATAATCTCGCGATCGTCGCCACAGGCAAGTGTTACATAAATAACAAAAACAAATATTTTTAAAGGTTTTTATTACTCATAATGATTCATACATTACCATGAAACACGCTTAATGGATTATAGCGACGTGACCGACACAATAAAACCTAATGAGTTTTAATTTTACATACATTATAAATATGCACCTAGATACCTTTAAGGGTATTTCATTATTCAAATTATTAAACACTTCATTTAAATAAACAAATACACTACACAATAAAACGTAATACATCACTTTAATTTCTTTTTTAATTTCGTCGTATACGTCTTGTTCGCTCTAAACAACTGTGTCTGTGTTGGTGAAAGCAGTCACTCCAAGAAGTGGTCGCTCCAAACAACATAAGTCGTTGGAATGGAAAAGATCTTAACGCTCAATAATCTGGCAATACAAGAACAGTAAATATTCTTGTATTGCCAGAGACAGAAGTTAATCCAATATCCTATTCAACAAATCTTCAATCAGTCTTACATACCATTAGCGTGTAATGCAGTCCAATTAAACGATGACAGTAAAAACTTGGAGCAGTATATTCAAAAGGTTTTTTTCAATTCTGTTAGGTTTTTAAGCTATTGCATAGCTTCTATCGCGGGCCTTGAACGTGGAGACCGAATCCAGAAATTCCGTAACAAAAATAACCTAACATACCCCACGTGATACTTTTTAGTTTTACCATCTATCGATGAATAGCAGAACTTTTAATGACTTTTTTGAAATATCAGGCTTGTCTCTTTAGCCCAGCAACTCGCCTCTAGGTGGCATTTGTTGTATCGGCGTCACTGCACATGCGTAATCCCCCTTTTCGCCCCGCAATCTAATTAATATCAAAGAAAAAAATACTGCATAAATAAAATAAATAAATAATTATAATTGCATAAGTTGATAAAAAATGCTATGCAATAGCTTTACCGCGGCAGTCCCCGAGTGCCACACGTCTTTTTTATTTAGGCATCGTTTAAGAGAACTCCAGAATTGTAATCGAGTAACGCATTGGTTTCTAGCACCACATAAGCATTTTCAAACTCTTATAAAATGAAGTATGCTAAAAGTTCAGTTTATTTTGATACACAAATAGAAGTGCACATGCACTTAATGCTATAAAAAAGCATGCACTTAACTTCATACCTAGATATGGAATTGAGTGCGTTCCTATGGAATTAGACTTACACATATATAGAATTAAGTGTTTTATTTATTATGGTTTGAATTAGATATTCTTTGTATTATTTTTTCGTGTTTTGTTTTAACATGCTCCATTTTATTAAACCTTTACCATCCATACCTATCTATAACAAATCCATAAGTCGATGTTTCAGTATATGTTTTCCATATTGAGCTAAGCCTTCTTAACATTCCAATTATTTTCGAATTAAACGATAGTTAATTCTATTCTATCTACTTGTAATAACAAACAGTCATACGGAATACCTGGTAGTGTTTCGCTCGAAGTTCGTAAGTTCGAAGTCAGGTCTCAGTATAGGACAAAGGTTGAGATTTGAGTTGTTATTTTTGTTGGTATTTGATGAGATTGTGAGTTATCGTGTCGAGCTTACTCAGGCAAGCCGTATGTATGTCTGCCAGAATGACATTTAAAATACATTAAATACAGTAAACATATAATAATTAAAAATATGTAGAACAGTCGGAAGAATACAACATTTAATAATTTCAATAATGGTTTATTTCTCAGAGCTATTGATGTTCACTAAGCTGATACAATTCTTAATTTTAATAACATTTTAATATTCCTAATAATATGCATTAATTAGAATTCTAGCTATAAAATACAATAGTAAATTTTAGGGTCAGGCTTCATAGCCAGCTAGACAGTGGATGCTAGCTGAAAGGAATAAAGCCTATTAAAAAAAAATCTAAACCCTTTTTCTCGAAGCAATTTTATCGTCATCACCGATGCTTTCAATATTATTATTTTTCAGGATATTTCCAAGAATTTAATAATGAGTGAATTTAATTTTATAAAGTACAAGCGAACGCTTAATACTAAAATTGACCTTAAAGCCAATGGTGATTTCAAGGGCGATAGCATCGGTTCAGACCTCACACCTTAAGGTATTCCTCTCATCCCTGTTTAGTCCCATCCAAAACTACTTTAAGCAGAAACCATATAGGGAAAACAATATTGTGCTCACATCAACCCATACACAGTAACACATTCTATATTATAATGTATTTAAATTTTAACATAAAAAACTCATTCGTTGATACACATACAAACTAAAATAAAATAAAATAATTTCTATGTATGCGTTTATAATTTTTATTTTAAATATGTTTTTTATGTTAATACATTGTGCTGGTGCATTCCGATGAAACGAATTGTTCTCGCTTTTATTTTTTTGACTATAATTATTAAGAAATTTTAATAAATTAAGCGGTTTTTGTGTGACAGTAACCCAGTAATTCCTATGGATGACTTAAAAGTAATTGACTTTTCATTGCATACTTGGCAAATCAAAAAATATCGTAATAAATAAATGCACAGGCAATTGAGCTGATGCTGGTGACGACGTTCATAATAATGGAGAATATTTTAGAAGCGTATGCTGCAAATTGCCCGTGCAAGATGTCAAGAGCCGCTTACAGCCCCTAACACTAGATGGTGAATAATATGGACCACTATCACATTCGCTCACATCCAAACATAACATTGGAAACAAATCGGTTATCTAATGGAGTAGTTTATCTATAATTATTTAAGGATTTTCTTATAGACAAAAAACATCAAAAAAACAATTTATCGGAATAGGAACGAATGTTAAACACTATAAGGTTTTTATTTTTAAATAATTATTTGGGTCGTCACGACTAGAAATTGAAAACCGAAATACAACAGATCAAAAACACACACATATATATATAAATACATATCTAGACGCAAACGAAACATAACAGAGATTCAATAATCTCGATACTTTAGTAATTATCTTTTGGAAATGAGTAAATTTTATATAACACGTATTTATAACTATGTTTAGTACTATACCTCGACGCAACAAGCAAGAATTAACTTAAACAGAGGTAAATATAATGAATTCTTTAATAATAGTTTTCTACTAAAACATTTTATATTTAAGCTCTCTATATTTTTAGGCTCACTGTTGGTCTAGAATAACACAGATGTCTCCGTTCAGGTACAGTTCTGATCGATCTAGCGCTATTTATGAGTAATATTAATACACTTGGTACACGGTCAATTATATTTAGAGGTGCAGGTAATTCTAATTATAATTGCCCCTGTACTAAGTTCCTAATATCTACTGAATCTGACACTGTCTTCCAACTTCCAAGAGTCTGAAAAGATGGCGTCAAAATGATAAATGATGATCTTTAAGTTGCTTGTTACGCGCAACATATTTTAAAATAGCTCAGAGATATTTCGCTAGCGTGATGCAGGCTTTTGCTGATGAAGCTAGCGAGAATTTATCGTAAGCTTGTAAATCCAGCGCAAAATCGATCATGAACTTTTGACTGTTAAACATCGCAGGGAATTAAGCTCGTGTCGAAAAAAGAATAAAAATCTCTCCTTAAAACTAACTGAATTACTTACGAGGTATAGGTCGACAAAAAAGTCATCTTTGTCGTTCTAGAAGTTTGTAGTATTAAGTCTCATCTAACAAATATTATAGCGCACGAAACACTAGCTCGGCGAGACATTTCATTATATTTTAAGAAGGTCTTTTAAAGACAACATTTTGTTAAATATACTCTTTCTTTTAAACCTTTATAAAAGTACCATCAGGTTTTATATTTCCGTCAGTTAATGCGACGACACGTCCTTTTTAAGCGTCTACGCTAAACAAAAAATGCCTCTAAAGACATTTTATATAACTTGTAAATCACAAATGGCATTAGCAAAATAAGTTATCTTATTAATTCCCCCAAAAATTTTGATCGCAAAGCGGTGTTTTGGCTAAACAAAATGGACCGGTTACGCTAAATATCATGTATAAAAGCACTACAGTTTTGTATAAGACCAAATTTTAAAACATCATCAGAAATATACTTTAAATGGCGAGCTACTAGAAAACAGTTGTTTTTTAGAAAAAAATGGACGTCTCTGTTCTTAGGTCGAGAATTGGTTATTGACTTTACAATAAAATTGGATGCGGTTAGGACACAATCGATATGGGAGTACCTGATTGACCGTAGTTTACACAACACACCATGACATCAACACTATGTTTTTCATTACTCTTACTGTCATTAATAACTAAGATTTCATCGAACTCTTTAACAGTCTGTTCATTGCATTCGAATATCACAAAACACTATCTATTTGTAAGCTATCTCATGCGGAATAGTGGCCCTCAGAGACGATGCTTACACGCTTTCCTCTTATCACAGCCTTTAATTCCTATATCAATTATACTTTCTTTGGTACTCTCGGTTTGTAAGCATTGTCTGTTATTTTGGGCTCACTTCTTCGATGAGAAGGCTACAAATAGACCCGAAACCTAGAACTCTAGTCTGTAGGCAGCACACGAGGTCTCGTGGTCCTGAAGATTGATGGTACAACGGGAAGCGGATGGCGAGAGGTCAATCTTGTATTTCTCAAGTGCTTCCTCGTTCTCTGTCACCCAGTAGCCAAGGACGTCGGTGTCGTACGTTGGGATTATTGTTACTTCTGTAAATAATATTTATTATAGGTTATTAAATTTACTCTTCTAATTATGAATGTTCTAAGGTAGTTTCATTACTTTTAAATTTGATCCCATGTTATAAAAGACAAGCAACGACCTGTTAATTGTAATAAGTTATTTTGTTTTTTTAATGAGACGATTCAGAATATACCTATCTAATATGAATATATCGAAAATAATTAAAACCTGTTTTGATGAAGATAGCATCAACATCATCATCGACAGCCTTTTTAATTGTCCACTGCTGGACATAAGCCTCTCTTTAGAAAGGAGGTTTTGGCCTACTTTACCACGCTGGCCAGACGGGTTGGTATAGGGTTTGTGTCAAGTTTTCCTTCTCTCAGTGTTGTTGTTCTGCGTAGTTCTCTCCCTTAGTCGGCTCTTACGACACCCACGGGATGAATAGGGGTGGTGACACTGTATTCTTAATCCGTCACCACAAGGAATAAGATATACATAGTAGTAATAAATTTTGCAAAATCACACATATTCATTAAGTTTTGCTTACCTAAATCTTTATCTTCCCAAGTTTTCTTGGCGTCTAACAAGGCGTTGTAGATTTCCTTTGATGGTTCAGTGCCAGAGAATACGTAGTAACGTGCGCGGACTCGTTTGAAGAATTCTACAGCGGAATAATAAGAATTGCCGTGATGTGGTACGTATGTTAGTTCCATATATACCGGCGCTGGAGCTTTCTTTTTATTTGGAGACTCAGAAGATCTCTTCGCTTCTTTACTTTTCTCTTGATTAATTTTATTCTTGTTGAGTACAGTTGCACTAGCTTGCTTCTTAGGAGTATTCTTGCTGTCGGCTTGTGTTGTCGGCATAATTGGGCTAGGTAAACCTAGTGGCTTACCCCATGACTCGATAGGGTCGTTCGATGTTCGCGTGTCACTCGTTTGTTTCAATTCCTGCTTGCTTGTTGAACTGCTCTCGGATCCTTTCTTTATTTCTGTTTTCAGATCTTTTAGTGTAATCGCGCTTTCTTGTTTCGAAGACTGACTTGAAATGGAATGGACTTTCTTATCTAGTTTATATTTGGCTGTAATATTTGAAATTACTTCAGGACCACTAACTTTTTTGTGTTCTTCGATAGCTTTTTCGAAATGTTCATCAGCTTCCTTTAAGAAAGTGACGTCAGTTTGTTTTAAGTGACCCATTTTTTCTTTAGACAAAAAGTCTTCAGTTATTTGTGTGGCAGTTTTTCCAGTGTGCCCTTCAGACTTATGTTCTGTATGAGTTATTGATGACCGTAATTCATCGTTTAATTTTTTTTCATAGCTAGATGTTGACATTTGCTCTCTATATAACGTAGAGTCCTGTTTTTCTAATTGGTCCAGTTGTGATCTTGTAGAATCTAATTCAAAACTTAAATTAGATCTAGGTGAGTGAGCTATTTGTGATTTTGTACTGCTAGGACTTCCGGGACCATCATCATCACTGTAGTACACACCGCTACTTTCTGTGCCCCATACACGAGTAGCCGCTCTTGAACCTCTTGAACTGATATCAGAAGGTGGTGATGAAATACCGTGGTGATCAAAATCATCACTTGCCGCTGATGAGCTTCTCATGTCACTAGTTTTGGTTGACATTTTAGAAAAGGATTTTTCACTTTCTCCTTTATCAATGGTTTCTTCAAATTCTTCTTTAAACTCTGATATAGTTGTCTTGGTTGACTTTGTTGTTTTTGTTATTCCATCACTTCCTTTGCTAACGGTTGTTGTTTCAACTGTAATTTTTATTTTTTCTGGGCTAATGACTTCCTTAGTAGTAACTATGGTGATTGTCTGTGTGATTTCATTGTCACCTTCGTTTATAACCTTTGTAAATGTTTCTGTGTCAGTAGTGATTTCTCCCACAGGTGAGCGTTGTTTCTTTAGTTTCTCTGTAGATTTTTTATCATCTTTTGATCCCAAGTGTAATTGTGCAAACACTGGTTTATCATCTAAAACTTGTTTTTCTTCTTGTACAACAGGTTGTTTTTCTATTTCTGCTAATTCTTCTGGAGACCAATCATCAAGGCCAGTGCCTATAGGAAGGTAAGTGATTTGTGTGCGAACGTCTTTGGTTGTTTCAATGGAACCATCATCTTTCGCGTTTTCTGTAATAGTTTCTGTTACTGTTTTAACTGCAATTTCATTCGTCTCATTGTTACTTAGTTCTTCTTTCGTCACGTAAGTAGTTATTGTTTGAGTAACTTTTTCTCCTTGTTCATAGATAAGACTTGTTTTCTTATCGACTGACGTTTTCACTTTACCTGTCGATGTTAGACCCTGTAATGCAGCTTGTAAATCACTATCAGAAGTCTTCTGGAACTCAGAAATTGTTATTTTTACGTCTTTTGTCGTTTCAGTAGACCCATCAGGAAACTCGTCCACCGTAACAGTTTCAACGGTAGTCCGTACACGTTTAATATTCTTATCTGTACTAGCAAGCGTTTCTCGCTTAGTTTTTGTTGTGATTGTTCTCTTAATAGTAAGTGAACCTTGCTGAATTACTTCATTTTTGACATCCGAATCTTCAGTAGTATCTTCTACAATTTCAGAGCCATCTATGTATGATTCGGGGGGTTGTGTGTCACTTTCAGATGTACCGGAAGGTCTCAAAATTACATCAGCTATAGAAACTTTTTCACTCTTTTTGATAATCACTGTTCCGTCTGGGTGTTCATCTTCAATGACAGTTTTGACAGTGGTTTTTATCTTCCTAGATCTAATAGAAGCATTCTCAAATTCTTGCCTAACAGTTGTAATTGTTGTCTTTCTTAAGATTGTTATACCATTTTCTACAATAGATTTTGTATCAGTTGTAGTGGATTCTTCTGGTTTACCTAATTCAGTAAAACCTGTAAGATTTTCATCAAATGTTTCAACGCCATAGTCAGCCACTGAGACTTTAACATCCTTTGTTACTTCGGTTAAACCGTCTGGTAATTTAGTTTCAGTTACGGTCTCAACCGTAGTCCTAATTTTTTTCCTTGAACCGTCTACAGATGAAAGGGTTTCCTTTATAGTAGTAGTAGTAATTATTTGTTTTACTTGTTTGCCATCTCTGATTTCTAGTTTTTCCTGAGTATCTACATTTACAATTTTATCTTCTAATTCTGGGTATTCCTTAAGATCTTGACCTTTCACTAAGTCAGCAGACTCCACATCAATAATTGAAGTATTTGTATCAACAGTTTTTCTTAGAGAACCATCAGGGTACTTGTCAATTGTTGTTACTGTTATTACTACTTTTAGTTTTCTCAAAACGCCTAAATTATCAGCGTACCTGGTTTTAGCAGTTTTAGTTGTAATAGTTCTAACTATAGTTATTAGATTTTCTTTAATATTTTCTGTTACAACGACTTCAGTTACCTCAGGTTCACTGGTAGGGATCAAATCTTTCAGTGCGGCCTCTATTTTAATATTTTCAGTCGTCTCCTTGTCTTCATTCAGGTTTTCTACATATTCGTCTACCAATGAAACTTTCTCGCTAGTTTTTGTAATGACTGACCCGTCAGGATGTTCGTCTTCGGTAACGGTCTTGACTGTAGTTTTAGTTCGTATTACATTTTCTTTTGTGTACTTTTGTGTTGTAGTCGTGATAGTAGTTTTTCTTTTGACAACGACTCCATTATCAGTTACGATTTCTTCATGTGTTGTTATATCTTCATTAGGAGTACCGGTGGTATTGAAACCTTCCAGATTTTCTTCAATAGTGTCAGAGAGTTCAGGTTCAATATCTGTAACTGTCGTGCTACCCTCTACAGTTGTTCGTGCAGAACCATCTGGGAAATTGTCCGTTGTTGTGACCGTAGTAACGATTTTGAGTTTTCTTGGTTTGCCTGCCTTATCAACGTATGTCGTCTTTACAATTCTGGTTGTAATACTCCTCTTGATTACAGTATTATTTTCTACTATTTCGATTGTCTCAACAGATTCACTTTCGTCTGGTTCCCTATGTACGGTTAATTCTCTTAAAGCATTATCTATCTTAGCACTTTCATCCAAACCATCCAGTTCCTCTTCTAAGGGTATTTCTTTTTCAGGAGAAATTTCAGATTTAATAGAATCAGTAGTTTCGGGCAACTCTTTTTTACTTATTTGGGATAATTTATTTTCATCTTTTTGTACATGTGTGCTTGTTAAAGTATCTTCAGAAATTATGTTAGTAACTACTGTGCTAACATTAACTTGGGTTTTGGTGGTACCATCAGGATATGTATCGGTAGTGCTAGTTGTTGTAACAATTTTGAGCTTACATGCTATACCTTGACTATTACAGTATTTCGTTTTTACTACCCTTGTGATTATAGTCCGGTGAATTATTGTGGTTTGATCTTTTATTTCTTCTCTTTTCACCGATTCAGTTATCTCAGGTTCTTCTAGAGGGCAAAGTTCCTTAAGTTGTGATTCAAGTTCTTTTTCTTTACGATCTCTTTCTTCACATTCTGTGGTTCTATCAAGAGTTTCATCCGAAAGTGAAATTTTTTCATTTGTCTTTGTAATTACAGAGCCATCTGGATGCTCATCTTCTAAAACTGTTTTAATTATTGTTTTGGTACGTTTAATACTTTTAGATACATTAATATATTCTGAGGTAATCGTTGTGATAGTTGTTTTCCTTTTAATTGAAACACCATCTTCAATAATAGTTGCAGATTTCATAGTTGTATCTTCTTTCGGTTTGCCAATAGGTTTAAAACCTTCTAGATTTTCTTTTAGAGTGTCGATGCCAACATCTGATAGTGATATCTTGACGTCTTTAGTTACTTCTGTCATACCGTCTGGAAGCATAGTTTCTGTCACTGTTTCCACAGTTGTCTTTAGTTTCCTTTTACTTCTATCTATATTAGCTAACGTTTCTTTAGTAGTAGTTACAGTTATAATTTGCAGCACATTTTTACCGTTAATAAGTACAGTTTTATCTTGTTTTTCAGATTCTATAGATTTGTTTTCTATTATTGTGAATTCCTCAAGTTCAGGACTTTCTACGGTTTCCTTGTCAATATCTGTCAATGAAGTACTGCTGTCTACCTTTGTGCGTGACGAACCATCGGGATAGTCATCGGTAGTAGTAATTACTGTTGTTGTTTTAAGTTTCCTAGGCACTCCTCTATTATCAGCATACTTAACTTTTACAATCCTTGTAACAAAAGAACGTTTAATAAGGTGATTATCTTGTTTTAATTCCTCTGTCTTGGTAGACACACTTTCTTCGGGCTCTCCAAATATAACATATTCGCTGAGTATTTTATCTAAGTTGCTACCAGAATCAAGTAGAAGCTCTTCGGTCTTTACTTCAACATTTTTTTGTACGTCCCTGGATCCGTCAGGATATTCTTTTGTAATCGTGGTTTCAACTGTCGTGCGAATTAATTTCTTACAATCACTAATTCTAACAGTTTCTTTCTTAGTTACTGTTATTATTGTTTCAATGATATCAATGTTCTTTTCACGAATGATTCGTTTACTGACGTCGGTGTCAATTATAGTATCTTCAACATCGTCATCAGTTTCCTCAGATTCACTTATAAAAGATTTAAAATCAGAATCTACATCTATAGGTATAGAAGGCTCGCGCTTATCAGGTAAGTTCATCATTTCGAACTTTTCATCAATGTCTAAATATTCTTTCTCAATTTTATCTTTGGCGTACAAATCCATCGAAGAGGTAGATCGCAGGCTAGAAGAACATTCTGAAAGCAATGTCTGTGTATCTGTTGTAGTAGTCGTGGTTCCGTCAGCACCTTTGCTCAGTGTAGTGGTTTCTATTGTCGTTTTGATATTTTGTGGTGTCCCATCTTCCCTTGATATCACTTCTTTAGTGGTTACAGTTGTGATTGTCTGAGTAACAACATTTTCACCTTCTTTGATAATTTTTGTTACAGTGTCAGTTTCAGTCTTAATTTTTCCCATAGTTTGCATTAGGGTTAAAATGTCTGCATCCTCATCAATAAGAGCGCTTGGTTTTTTAGGAGCTTTCTCTGTAGAAGTTGAAATACGTTGTGTTAGAACATCCTCTCCAACATGAACCACTTTAGTAATTATCTCTTCACTACCATCGGATTTATCATACGTAACTTCGCTTTGAACTCCGTCACTCATTTTTACATCTTGGAAGCCACTCGGAGTCTTTGGTAATGGGCTAACGGGGACTGTTGGTGGAGTAGACACTCTAACTAAGGACTCTAAGCTTTCTGTCTTGATACCTTGCTGTACGATTTCTTCACCAAAGGCTTTATGTATTGATTCCATTAGATTTACGGCGTTATCTTTAATAGTCCGCGTAACAGTGGTATCCATTTGCCCTGTAGAGTCTACTTCTATTGGTATACTATGAACTCCAGAATCTGATGCTTCAGACTGTAGGATTTCATCCCTGGGTGAACCTGGTTCCTCTGTTTTATCTTTGTCAACTTTCGAATCGTATTGTTTTAAAGTCTGAGTAAGGGAATCGAGACTTGACATAGAATCAACCTTTTGGGTTGTGGCATAGTCTTTTTGCGTCGATTTCTTTTCTGATTTCTCAGTGCCCTCAAAGCTATATTTTTCTTCAAGACTTACTTCCTTAGACACATCTTCTGAGCTGCTACCGTGAGGTTTATGAGAAAGAGTATCAGTCAAACTGTCATCATCAGGTTTTTCCTCTATAACAGACCTTTTCACTTTATAGTGTGCATCAACAGGCTCTGTCTGATTTGGGAACTTTTGTAATGAGTCTAATTTTGTCATCGTAACTTGAGAATCTTTTCTTAAGTCAATAATTTGACTATCTTCGCTTATCGATTCACCATCCTCATAAACGTCAGTATCAATATCCTGTACTTCAGTGCTTTCGTCAACAGATTTTTCTAATGTTTTAGTTGGTACTACATCCACTGATTTACTAATCATATATTCTGCATGAGGTTGTTTACTAAGTTCCTTTTCATCAATATCTTTTTCATCGTCCTTAGAAATTGTTTCACTTTCTTTTTTAGTTACACCAGACTTCTCTGTTCGTAACTTATCACTAAGACTAGGAATCTGGCCATTTGGTATGGCCTTTATCTCTTCTAGTTTCTTGTCAATAGCAAATGGTCTAGACGGCTTGCCACTTGGTCCATGTTCACTTAATTCGGGAACGCTTGTTTTTCCCGATGGTGTTAAATCTGTTGGAGTAGGGCTATATGCTTTGTCTTGTGATACTTCCTCAGTTGTTTTTTGACTAGGTAGTTTTGCAGTTGAATCAGGGCTTGTTGGCTTTGTGCTTGAAACTAAGCTGAGCACTTGTAGTTGCTCACCAACGATCGAGGTACTATCTTGGTCGATTAAGGTTTTCTCACTTAGAATATAACTTGTTTTTTGATCAGCTGGTATCTTTTCGATTGAAATAGAGCTATGTGATTTATCATCCGACACCTTTGGGCTCGCAACTGGGCTATGTGTCGTTTCGCTCAGTGTCTTTTCAGTTAGAGTAGCAGTTGATACTTTATCATGTGGTTCTTCCTCACTCGTAACACAGGTAGCTAATGTGTCAGAAACTTTCTTACTTGGACCAGGGCTGAGTGCCTTATCACTTTCACACGAAACTTCTTTTGGCACCTCGCTAAATGAAACTTCGTCACTTACATGAGGGCTGAGTTCATTAGTTTCCGGTGCTTTATCAGAAAGTAAAACATTCTTTGTTCTTTTAGTAACTTTAGACCCATCAGGATGTTCGTCTTCTGTAACACTTATGGTGATAACCTTATACATCGTTATTTTCTTGATGGCACTATAGAATCTTTGTACTTGAGTCGTTATAACCAATTTTCGTTTGATGGTTACACTGTTTTCTGTAACAGTGAAATTTTTGGAAGTCGTAGTTTCTTCTAAATTCCCAATAGCTTCAAATTCTTTTAGTAAATTATCTATTTCTTGATTTTCATCTGTTGTCAGTTGAATTTCCTCAACTTGACCAGATGTATCCTTGTCTTGTTGGACTGGCCTTGGTAAAGATAATTTACCGTTGGGCAGTGTTTCACTCGATACAGGGCTTGGTGTCCCATCGCTTAGTGTTTTCTCACTAGAAACAAGGCTTGGTGATCTATCACTTGTTTCTTTCTCACTTGTGATAGGATAAGGTACTCCGTTACTATGGGCCTTCTCAATAAGTTCAGGTATTTTGTCAATAGGAAGTAGTAACTTTTCACTAGGTGATGGACTAACAGGGCTGGGTTTTGTATCGCTTGGCAACTTTTCACTTTTTATTGTAACGGGAATCTCTTCGACTGGTTTCGTCTTGGTCGTCACAAACTGTAATGGTTTATCACCTGGTGATTTCTCGCTTGGAACGTGGCTGGGTTTTTTGTCGCTTGTCACCTTTTCACTAGGAATTATGACAGGAGTCCCATTGATTGGTTCTTTCTCAGTTGCAGGAGATTCTAGTGGCTGGTCACCTAGAGATTTCTTGCTTGGAACAGGGCTGGAAGCCATGTCGCTGACAGAATCTAATAGCTCATCACCTAGTGATTTCTCACTTGGAACAGGGCTAGGTGCTTTGTCGCTTGTCTCCTTTTCACTTGGAACCGGTACAAGAATCTCTCTGATTGGTTTCTTCAGAGTTACAGTAGATTCTAATGGCTGATCACCTGGTGATTTCTCGCTCGATACGGGACTGGGTGCCTTGTCACTTGGCTCCTTCTCACTTTGAGGCGGGATAGGAGTCTCAATAAATGATTCCTTCTTAATCTTTACAGATTCTAATGGTTCATCAACTGGTGATTTCGCGCTTGGAACAGAGCTAGGTGCCTTGTCTACTACCAGGGTATCTTTGTTTGGTTCCTCCTTATGTGTAGGAGATTCTAGTGGCTGGTCACCTGGTGATTTCTCGCTTGAAGCTAGGCTGGGTGCCTCGTCGCTTGTCACCTTTTCTCTCGAAATCATGATAGGAGTTTCCTTGATTGGTTCCTTCTCAGTTGCAGTAGATGCTAGTGGCTGGTCACCCGGAGACTTCTCGCTTGGAATAGGGCTAGGTGCCTTGTCGCTCGTTTCCTTTTTACTTGGAACCGGTACAAGAGTCTCTTTGATTGATTCTTTCTTGATCGTTACAGATTCTAATGGTTCATCAACTGGTGATTTCGCGCTTGGAATAGGGCTAGGTGCCTTGTCGCTCACAGATTCAAATGGCTTATCACTTGTTGACTTCTCTCTTGGAACAGAGCTAGGTGCCTTGTCGCTCACCTCCGTCTCACATGGAACCGGTACAGGAGTCTCTTTGATTGGTTCCTCCTTAGGTGCAGGAGATTCTAGTGGCTGGTCACCTGGAGATTTCTTACTTGGAACAGGGCTGGAAGCCATGTCGCTGACAGAATCTAATAGCTCATCACCTAGTGATTTCTCACTTGGAACAGGGCTAGGTGCTTGGTCGCTTGTCTCCTTTTCACTTGGAACCGGTACAGGAGTCTCTCTGATTGGTTTCTTTAGAGTTACAGTAGATTCTAGTGGCTGATCACCTGGTGATTTCTCGCTCGATACGGGACTGGGTGCCTTGTCACTTGGCTCCTTCTCACTTTGAGGCTTGATAGGAGTCTCAATAATTGATTCCTTCTTAATCTTTACAGATTCTAATGGTTCATCAACTGGTGATTTCGCGCTTGGAACAGAGCTAGGTGCCTTGTCTAGTACCGGGGTCTCTTTGTTTGGTTCCTCCTTATGTGCAGGAGATTCTAGTGGCTGGTCACCCGGAGACTTCTCGCTTGGAACAGGGCTGGGTGCCTTGTCGCTCGTTTCCTTTTCACTTGGAACCGGTACAGGAGTCTCTTTAATTGATTCTTTCTTAATTGTTACAGATTCTAATGGTTCATCAACTGGCGATTTCGCGCTTCGAACAGGGCTAGGTGCCTTGCCGCTTACAGATTCTAATGGCTCATCAATTGCTGATTTCGCACTTGGAACCGAGCTAGGTGCCTTGTCTAGTACCGGGGTCTCTTTGTTTGGTTCCTCCTTATGTGCAGGAGATCCTAGTGGCTGGTCACCTGGAGCTTTCTTGCTTGGAACTGGGCTGGAAGCCTTGTCGCTTACAGATTCTAATAGCTCATCACCTAATGATTTCTCACTTGGAACAGGGCTAGGTGCCTTGACGCTTGTCTCCTTTTCACTTGGAACAGGGCTGGGTGCCTTGTCGCTTGTTTCTTTTTCACTTGTAACCGGTACAGGAGTCTCTTTGATTGATTCTTTCTTAATCGTTACAGATTCTAATGGTTCATGAACTGGTGATTTCGCGCTTGGAACATGGCTAGGTGCCTTGTTGCTCACAGATTCAAATGGCTCATCACTTGCTGACTTCTCTCTTGGAACAGAGCTTGGTGCCTTGTCTAGTACAGGAGTCTCTTTGTTTGGTTCCTCTTTAGGTGCAGGAGATTCTAGTGGCTGGTCACCTGGTGATTTCTCGCTTGGAACTAGGCTGTGTGCCTCGTCGCTTGTCACCTTTTCACTAGGAATTATGACAGGAGTCTCCTTGATTGGTTCCTTCTCAGTTGTAGTAGATGCTAGTGGCTGGTCACCCGGAGACTTCTCGCTTGGAACATGGCTAGGTGACTTGTCGCTCGTTTCCTTTTCACTTGGAACCGGTACAGGAGTCTCTTTGAGTGGTTCCTTCTTAAGTGAAGGAGATTCTAGTGGCTGGTCAACTGGTGATTTTTCACTTGGAACAAGGCTGGGTGCCTTGTGGCTTATTACCTTTTCACTAGGAGGCATGACAGGAGTCTCCTTAATTGGTTCCTTCTCAGTTGCAGAAGATCCTAGTGGCTGGTCACCTGGAGATTTCTTGCTTGGAACTGGGCTGGAAGCCTTGTCGCTTTCAGATTCTAATAGCTCATCACCTAGTGATTTCTCACTTGGAACAGGGCTAGGTGCTTTGTCGCTTGTCTCCTTCTCACATGAAACCGGTACAGGAGTCTCCTCGGTTGGTTCCTTCTCAGTTGCAGTAGATGCTAGAGGCTGGTCACCCGGAGACTTCTCGCTTGGAACATGGCTAGGTGACTTGTCGCTCGTTTCCTTTTCACTTGGAACCGGTACAGAAGTATCTTTGATTGATTCCTTCTTAATCGTTACAGATTCTAACGGTTTATCAATTAGTGATTTTGCCCTTGGAACGGGGCTGGTTACCTTGTCGATTGGCTCCGTCTTACTTGGAGCCGTGATAGAAATATCTTTGATTGATTCCTTCTTAATCGTTACAGATTCTAATGGTTCATCAATTGGTGATTTCTCGCTTGGAACAAAGCTAGGTGCCTTGTCACTTACAGATGCTAATGGTTCATCAGCGGGTAATTTCTCGCTTGGAACAGGGCTGTGTGCCTTGTCACTTGGCTCCTTCTCACTAGGATACAGTTCTGGTTCAAATAAAGTTTTCTCAATTAGGTTAGGAACTTTGTCAAGGGGTAATGTGCTGATAATTTCCACGGTCGGTTTGTCAGAAAGTAATGTTTTCTTTGATGTTCTTGTAATTATAGATCCATCAGGAAGACTATCTTCTTCAACAGTTACAGTGGTAATTTTGTAAATAGTTGTGCTTTTGGTGATACAACGGAATTCTTGTAGTATGGTCGTTATAACTAATTTTCTTTTTATTGAAATGTTGTTTTCTATAACCGTAATATTTCTAGTAATTGTGGACTCTTTTTCACTACCAACAGCCTTAAATCCTTCCAATTTCTTTTCCATTTCTTGAATGTCATCTGATTCAATTTCTCTTTCCGTTATAAGTCTGTCTGCAACATCATCACTTATAAATTTTTTACTGAGAACAGGGCTTGGTGACTTTTCATCAGCCACTTCATTAATTGGAACGCGGCTGGATTCTACGTCACTTGACTCCTTTTCACTTGGAGTTGCAGTCGATATCTTCTGGAGTAGTTCTTTCTCGTTAGGGGTGGGGCTAGGATATTTGTCGCTTAACACTTTCTCACTTGAAATCGTAAGTGGTGTCTTCTCGAGAGATATCAACTTACTTTTAGCTTCAAGTGACTGGTCACCTAGCGATTTTTCGCTTGGACCGGAGCTGGGTGCCTTGTCGCTGGGTTCTTTCTCACTTGAACCCTTAACAGGAGTCTCTTTGATGGGTTCCTTTTTACTCGTAATAAGCTCTATTGGTTTGACTTCTGGTAATTTTTCGGTTGGAACTTGGCTGGGTGCCCTCTCACTTGGCTCCTTCTCACTTAAAACCATGTCACTTCGAGCCTCAACAGGAGTCTCTTTAATTGGTTCCTTCTTACTTGTAATAGGCTCCAGTGGCTGGTCACCTGGTGCTTTCTCGCTTGGAACGGGGCTGGCTTTTATGTCTTTTCGCATCTTCTCACTTGGAATCGTAACAACTGCTTCTTCGACTGTTTCCTTTTTACTCATAATAGACTCAAGTTGTTTGTCTTCTGGTATTTTCTCACTTGGTACGTGGCTGTGTGCCTTGTCGCTTGGCTCCTTCTTACTTGGAATCGAAACAGGAGTCTCCTTGACTGGTTCCTTCTTAGTCGTTACAGTTTCTAATAATGTATCACCCGCTAATTTCTCGCTTGGAACGGGGCCTGATGCCTTCTCACTTGGCTCCTCATATGGAACCATAATAGGAGTCTCCTTAACTGGCTCCTTCTTAATCGGTATAGCTTCTGATAGTTTATCACCTGGAGATTTTTCGCTTGGAACGGGGCTGAGTTTTATGTCGCTTGGCATTTTCTCACTTGGAATCGTAATAACTGTCTCATCGACTGTTTCCTTTTTACTCGTAACAGGTTCAAGTAGTTTGTCTTCTAGTGACTTCTCATCTGGAACGTGCCTGTGTGCCTTGTCGCTTGGCTCTTTCTCACTTGGAGCCATAACAGGAGTCTCCTTGACTGGTGCCTTCTGAGTTGCAGTAGATTCTAATGCATGGTCAACTAAAGATTTCTCGCTTGGAACGGGACTGGTTACCTTATCTCTTGGTTCCTTCTCACTTCGAGCCTCAACAGGAGTGTCTTCGATTAGTTCTTTCTTACTTGTAATAGGCTCTTGCGGCTGGTCGCCTGGTGATTTCTCACTTGGGACCCTATCAGGGGTCTCCTTGATCGGTTCCTTCTCAGTTGTTGCAGATTCTAATGGCTCTTCACCTGGTGATTTCTCGCTTGGAATGGGGCTGCGTATAGTGGCGCTTGGTTCTTTCTCACTAGGACCCCCATCAGGAGTCTCTTTGGTTGGTTCCTTCTGAGTTGCAGTAGATTGGAGTGCATGGTCATCTGATGATTTCTTGCTTGGAATAGGGCTGGGTACCTTATCGCTTGGTTCCTTCTCACTTTGTACCTCGACAGGAGTAATTTTTATCGGTTCGATCCTACTTGTAATAGGCTCTAGTGCCTGGTCAGCTAGTGTTTTCTCGCTTGTTGCAGGGCTGGGTGCCTTCTCACTTGGAACCATACCTGGAGTATCCTTAACTGGTTCCTTCTTAATCAGCACAGGTTCTAATAGTTTATCACCTGGCGATTTCTCGCTTGGAACTGGGCTAGGTGCTTTATCAGTTGGAGATTTCTCACTTGATACATGACCTGCTGCCTTATCATCAGTAACCTTCTCACTAGGAATCATACTATCTGGTTTGCCGGCCGTTATTTCCCCCTTAGAGACAAAGCTTGATGCCTTTAAACTTGGAATGGGGCTAGGTGCCTTCTCACTTGGAACGGGGCTAGGTGCTTTTTCACTTTGGGATTTCTCACTTGTTACAGAACTTGGTGCCTTATCACTTGGAACCGTCTCACTAGGAATAATGTCAGATGGTTTGGAGGCTCTTATTTGCATTTTAGAGTCAGGGCTTAATTCCTTCTCGCTTGGAACGGGGCTAGAAGCGTTCTCACTTGGAACGAAGGTAGGTGCTTTTTCACTTGGAGATTTCTCACTTGGTGCTTTATCATCTAGAACCTTCTCACTTGGAATAATGCTAGATGGTTTATCGGCCGTTATTTCCTCCTTCAGGATAGGGCTTAATGCTTTCTCGCTTGGAATGGGGCTAGGTGCTTTTTCACTTGGAGATTTCTCACTTGGTACAGGGCTTGGTGCCTTATCATCTGGAACCTTTTCACTAGGAATCCTGCTATATGGTTTGTCGGCCGTTATTTCCTCCTTAGGGATAGGGCTTAATTCCTTCTCCCTTGGAACGGGGCTGGCTGCCTTCTCACTTAGGATGGAGCTAGTTGTTTTTCCACTCGGATATTTCTCACTTGGTTCAGGACTTAATGCCTTATCGCTTGGCACTTTCTCACTTTGAATAACGCTTGTTAATTTTTCAGTAGTTATTTTGTCTGTTAAAAGCGGGCTAAGTGACTCCTCACTTGTTGCCTTCTCACTCGAAACGGGGCTAGGTACTTTTTCACTTGGAGATTTCTCACTTGGTATAGGACTTGGTGCCTTATCATCTTGAACCTTCTCACTTGAAATAATGCTATATGGTTTGTCAACCCTTATATCCTCCCTAGGGATGGGGCTTAATTCCTTCTCGCTTGGAACGGGGCTAGGTACCTTCTCACTTAAGATAGAGCTAGGTGTTTTTTCAGTCGGAGATTTCTCACTTGGTTCAAGAATTAATGCCTTAACGCTTGGTACTTTCTCAGTGGGAATAACGCTTGTTGATTTTTCAGTAGTTATTTTGTCTGTTAAAAGCGGACTTAGTGAATCCTCGCTTGTTGCCTTCTCACTTGAGACGGGGCTAGGTGCTTTTTCACTTGGAGATTTCTCACTTGGTACAGGACTTGGTGCCTTATCATCTGGAACCTTCTCACTAAGAATAATGCTAGATGGTTTGGCAGCCGTTACTTCCTCTTTAGAGACGGGGCTTAGTGCTTTCTCGCTTGGAATGGGGCTAGGTTCCTTCTCACTTGAAACGGGGCTAGGTGCTTTTTCATCTGTATATTTCTCACTTAGAACCGTCTCACTAGGAATAATGCTAGATGGTTTGGCAGCCGGTATTTTCTCTTCAGGGACAAGGCTTAATGCTTTCTTGCTTGAAATGGGGCAAGGTGCCTTCTCACTTGAAACGGCGCTGGTTGCTTTTTCATCTGGAGATTTCTCACTAGCAATGATACTAGCTGGTTTGCCGGCCGTTAATTCCTCCTTAGAGACAGGGCTTGATGCCTTTTCGCTTGGAATGGGGCTAGGTGCTTTTTCACTTGGAACGGAGCTGGGTGTTTTTCCACTTGGAGATTTCTCACTAGGTATAGGAATTGGTGCTTTATCATCTTTAACCTTCTCACTAGTAATAATACTATATGGTTTGTAGGACGTGATTTCCTCCTTAGGGATAGGGCTTAATTCCTTCTCGCTTGGAACGGGGCTAGGTGCCTTCTCACTTAGGATGGCCCTAGGTATTTTTTCAATCGGAGATTTCTCACTTGGTTCAGGACTTAATGCCTTATCACTTGGCACTTTCTCACTGGGAATAACGCTTGTTGATTTTTCAATAGTTACATTGTCTATTGAAAGCGGACTTAGTGACTGCTCGCTTGTTGGTTTATCACTTGAAACGGGGCTAGGTGCTCTTTCATCTCGAGATTTCTCACTTCGAATCGTCTCACTAGGAATAATGCTTGATGATTTGACGGCCATTATTTCCTCTTTAGAGACAGGGCTTAATGCTTTCTCGCTTGGAATGGGGCTAGGTGCCTTCTCACTTGAAACGGGGCTAGGTGCTTTTTCACTTGGAGATTTCTCATTTGATACAGGACTTGGTGCCTTATCATCTGGAACCGTCTCACTAGGAATAATGCTAGATGGTTTGGAAGCCAGTATTTCCTCTGTAGGGACAGGGCTTAGTGCTTTCTCGCTTGGAATGGGGCTAGGTACCTTCTCACTTGAAACGGGGCTAGGTGCTTTTTCATCCAGAGATTTCTCACTTAGAACCGTCTCACTAGGAATAATGCTAGATGGTTTGGCAGCCTTTACTTCCTCTTTAAGGACAGGGCTTAATGCTTTCTCACTTGAAATGGGGCTAGGTGCCTTCTCACTTGAAACAGGGCTAGGTGCTTTTTCACTTGGAGATTTCTCATTTGATACAGGACTTGGTGCCTTATCATCTGGAACCTTCCCACTAGGAATAATACTAGCTGGTTTGCCGGCCGTTAATTCCTCCTTAGAGACAGATTTTGATGCCTTTTCGCTTGAAACGGAGCTAAGTGCCTTCTCACTTGGAACGGAGCTGTGTGCTTTTTCAGCTGGAGATTTCTCGCTTGGTGTAGGACTTGGTGCCTTATCATCTTGAACCTTCTCACTAGGAGTAATGCTAGATGGTTTGGCAGCCGTTACTTCCTCTTTAGGGATAGGGCTTAGTGCTTTCTCGTTTGGAATGGGGCTACGTGACGTTTCACTTGATACGGGGCTAGGTGCTTTTACATCTGGAGATTTCTCACTTAGAACCGTCTCACTAGGAATAATGCTGGATGGTTTGGCAGCCGTTTCTTCCTCTTTAGGGACAGGGCTTAGTGCTTTCTCGCTTGGAATGGGGATAGGTGCCATCTCACTTGAAACGGGGCTAGGTGCTTTTTCATCTGGATATTTCTCACTTTGAACCGTCTCACTAGGAATAATGCTAGATGGTTTGGCAGCCGTTATTTCCTCTTTAGGGACAGGGCTTAGTGCTTTCTCGCTTGGAACGGGTCTAGGTGCCTTCTCACTTGAATCGGGGCTAGGTGCTTTTACATCTGGAGATTTCTCACTTAGAACCGTCTCACTAGGAATAATGCTGGATGGTTTGGCAGCCTTTTCTTCCTCTTTAGGGACAGGGCTTAGTGCCTTCTCACTTGTAACGGGGCTAGGTGCCTTCTCACTTGAAACAGGGCTAGGTGCTTTTTCAATTGGAGATTTCTCACTTGGTATAAGACTTGGTGCCTTATCATCTTGAACCTTCTCACTAGTAATAATGCTAGATGGTTTGGCAGCCTTTATTTCCTCCTTAGGGATAGAGCTTAGTGCTTTCTCGCTTGGAATGGGGCTAGGTGCCTTCTTACTTGAAACGGGGCTAGGTGCTTGCTCATCTGGATATTTCTCACTTTGAACCGTCTCAATAGGAATAATGCTAGATGGTTTGGCAGCCGTTACTTCCTCTTTAGGGACAGGGCTTAGTACTTTCTCGCTTGGAATGGGGCTAGGTGCCTTCTCACTTGAAACAGGGCTAGGTGCTTTTTCAGTTGGAGATTTCTCACTTGGTATAGGACTTGGTGCCTTATCATCTTGAACCTTCTCACTAGTAATAATGCTAGATGGTTTGGCAGCCTTTATTTCCTCCTTAGGGATAGAGCTTAGTGCTTTCTCGCTTGGACTGGGGCTAGGTGCCTTCTCACTTGAAACAGGGCTAGGTGCTTTTTCATCTGGAGATTTCTTACTTAGACCCGTCTCACTAGGAATAATGCTAGATGGTTTGGCAGCCGTTTCTTCCTCTTTAGGGACAGGGCTTAGTGCTTTCTCGCTTGGAATGGGGCTAGGTGCCTTCATACTTGAAACAGGGCTAGGTGCTTTTTCATCTGGAGATTTCTCACTTAGAACCGTCTCACTAGGAATAATAGTAGATGGTTTGGCAGCCGTTACTTCCTCTTTAGGGACAGGGCTTATTGCTTTCTCGCTTGGAATGGGGCTAGGTGCCTTCTCACTTGAAACAGGGCTAGGTGCTTTCTCATCTGGATATTTCTCACTTTGAACCGTCTCAATAGGAATAATGCTAGATGGTTTGGCAGCCGTTACTTCCTCTTTATGGACAGAGCTTAATGCTTTCTCGCTTGGAATGGGGCTAGGTGCCTTATCACTTGAAACAGGGGTAGGTGCTTGCTCATCTGGATATTTCTCACTTTGAACCGTCTCAATAGGAATAATGCTGGGTGGTTTGGCAGCCGTTACTTCCTCTTTAGGGACAGGGCTTAGTACTTTCTCGCTTGGAATGGGGCTAGGTGCCTTCTCACTTGAATCGGGGCTAGGTGCTTTTACATCTGGAGATTTCTCACTTAGAACCGTCTCACTAGGAATAATGCTATATGGTTTGGCAGCCGTTACTTCCTCTTTAGGGACAGGGCTTAGTGCTTTCTCGCTTGGAATGGGGCTAGGTGCCTTCTCACTTGAAACAGGGCTAGGTGCCTTTTTAGTTGGAGATTTCTCACTTGGTAT